CGGGCCACCAGCACATCTATCTTGCCAAGGACTTCATCTTCTCCACCCCTTAGTGGCCTTTGTGCAGGTCTTCTAGCACTGCCTTGCGTAGCGGAGGTGGGATGATAAGTCGATCATTGCGGCATAGTATTCCGTCAGGTTGGATACTGATTTTTCCACGATGTGCAAAGAATAGTGAAAACGTCCTCTTCAGGTCGGGACGCCATCCTTTTTACAGGGCTCTTATGATTTCTGCATAGGATCTTTTGGTACTTCGGCGCAACTCCTCTCATGTTATTAGGGCAGCAGTAGCAGTGAAATAGCACCTCTTAGCCGTTGAGAGTTCGGACCACCGGAAGAGAAAATCGGCTTGCGGAATAGTTCTGTCCGGACGGTGCACTACACCGCGGCCGTAGGAAGCCAATGCAATGCTCCATCGATGAATCATCGCCGTTTTCGGTTTAGAAATCGACTTTTTTGGACTGAATAGATATTACAAAGCTTGATGATCGGTTATGATGATGAAACGTTATCCAAACAGGTATTTGTGTAGGCGACGAACGGCCCAACATACAGCCAATGCTTCTTTCTGTGTCTGCAAATTTCCTCGTTCTGCGTGTTCAACAGACGAGAGATGCAGACAATAGGACATCCGTCCTGTTCGAACACAGCACCAATGCCAACATCTGATGCGTCGGTGATCAAATTTTGATGTTTCGTCGGAGAGAACGAGGCGAGTACTGGTCGGTCAGTTATCATGTGAATGATTTCACGCAGAATTTGTTCACACTCGGCAGTCCATTTTCATTCTGTAGTCGACTGAGCAGAGAACAGCGGTTGAGCTTTCGTGGTGAAGTTCGGGATGAAACCTGAATAGTATTGGAGACATCCCATGATGGATCTGAGTTGGTTTTGGGCTCTCGGTGATTCGAGTTTAGTTAATGGGCGGAAACGATTCGGATCAGGACGGTAGCCTTTTGCATTCACTGTGAAGCCCAAGAATTCCAATTCTGCTAAACTGAACATGCATTTAGAAGCGCAAATTGACACATTCTTTCAGGTGAAACGCTCCAGTATTTTGAGGAGTCTATCGTCATACTCGGTCTTCGTTATATCAAACACAATGACGTCGTTCTGTTACGATAACATGCCATCGAGTCCACGAATGACTTCGTCAATAACCGCCTGGAATATTCCTGAACATGTGTGGAGACCAAACGGTAGGAAGTTGTATTGATATAGTCTCCACGGTATGTTGACGGTGGTGAATTGCCGACAGGCTGAAGCGAGAGGAATCTGGAGGTACGCATCAGCCAAGTCGATCTTCGAGGAGCATGTGCTGCCGTGCAATGCTTTCATGAACTCCTCCAGCTTCATGGTAGTAGCCGCACACTTTCGCAACCGCGGGTTGAGGGTTAACCGGTAATAGCCACAAATTCGCGGTGTTTTGCCGTCACTTTTGATCGCGATCACAATTGGCGTTGCCCACGTACGGGATATGACTCCGGTGATTATGCCGTCGTGCGCCATTTCCTCAAGGGCCTGTAGCACGCCTTCACGGTGGGCGAGGAGGATTATGCGTCGTTTCAAGAAAATGGGATCACCATCAACTTCCAAATTGGTCGGCTGCACGTCCACGCCTCCTGTATTGTTGGAACATTTCACGATCGGGCGCTGTAGACAGATTTGCACATTGGACATAGAGTTTGTATGGAGTGACAGAATGGTTCAATGCACGAATGGCGGTTAAGCCAAGTATAGATGGACTGTTTTTGGCAATTAGGAACCGAATGGGAACAAGGCGATGTTCGGTGGAACATACCATCAACGAAACCTCATCAATCAGTCTTCAGTCTCCAGGATTGAGGGCAGAGGGCGGGGTGCCCGTGTAAGCCTCATCACCACTGGGTCGATGGTCCGATCACAAGTGCTCGTTCCTCCATAGCCCCTTCAGGTGCTCATACAGACGAAGCAGCATCTGTTCTCTCTTCCATCACAATCGCTAGAAGGGAATTCCAGAGTGTTGTTGACCTACGCGAGAGT